TATTATTATTATTATTATTATTATTATTATTATTATTATTATTATTATTATTATTATTATTATTATTATTTTAAACTAATTAAAAATTGAAGGCATTGATTTGTATGTGGCTTGCAAGTCGCAAGATGGCTGAGGCTTGCAAGACGCGTGAAGTTTTGCGTTTTTTGACGGTTGTCCTGATTTAAACGTAATTAAATTTTCCATCATAAAGTCATTCTTTTGATTTTATAATTAATTTTGTTGCCCGAATTTTTTGATAAATTTTTTTTTAACCTTTTAATTTCAGACTCCAATTTATAAGTATTGTTGGTATTTTTGAGCGTCTTATTGTGTACTATTGAAATAGTCTCATAATTGTGTCCAAGGCCTAATTGCATTTCAGCCATAGTAAATGCGAAAAGAACGTTTGAAGTCATGGATATCTTTTTTGTTGTCCGTTAGTGGTATTTTCTTATGCCTAATTACTCACTTGTAAATCAATGCCTTTAGGCATCATTATCCTTTATTTGATGGTTACAAAACAATGGTCATTGGAAGTTACTATTAGTGGTAGAGGGTGGTCAATCATGACCACTAATTCTTTTTTCATTAAATCTCCATTATATTTTGTAACATATGTAACTTTTAAGGGTATTTATCTTTACTATTTATTATATTATTTATCTTCCTCTTCAGTGCTAGGAAAACTTATTCTAGTATAAATAGCGGTGATCTTCATTTAGTTTAACACAAAAAATACACAAGAGAAAACATAGAGTAGAAGAGTTAGTCTAAAAGAGAGTTCTTATTAGTTGAAGGGAGGTGTTCCTTTTGTGGAGCTTTGGACTCAACTCTTGTCCAGAGTTGTTGAGTTATACTTTGTGAAGGTCATTGTATCGTGGAGCAAACAAATCAAAGAGAACTACTGCTGAACAGGTGAAAACATTTGTTGCACTAAGCTTGAATATCCTTAAAGACAGCGAGATATCCGCGCCTCAGCCTGAAGATATTTATTTCTTCATTTTATTTTCAATTTTATTATCTTGTAAGTTTTTTCACTAACCATTTAAAGGAGAATCAACACATGGCTACAATTGCAAAAACCGCGGATGTCAAGATGGGAGACCTTAACTAGCCATTTCTGTTCAATGGTAACCATTTTAAAGGATGGAAGGGTAAAGTAAATTTTCTACTTAAGTATTCTCAATGTTTCTTATGTGTGAAGACATCACCTCTATGAATGATGATGAAACTATTTCTCATCTAGAGAAAGTAGAAAAGTATGATGGTGATTCCTATAAGTGTCGGTATTATCTTCTTAATTGTCTATCTGATAATTTTATGATTATTATGATAGAACTTACTCTAGTGCAACGAAAATTTGAAAAGCATTGCAGAGTAAGTATGATACCGAAGAGGCTGGAGCAAAAAAGTATGCGGCTGGTAGATTTTTTTCATTTTCAAATGATGGACAATAAGTCACTGGTAGATCAAGCTCAAGACTTAATCATGATTGTTGAAGAGCTTAGGTCCGAAGAGGTTAAAATTGGAGATAATCTTATTGTTTGTGGCATAGTAGATAAACTTCCACCTTCTTTGAAGGAATTTCAAAAAACTATACGCCACAAAC